GTTATCCTAATTCTAAAACAAGATAAAGACACTACAAAGAAAGAGAATTACAGGCCAATATCCCTGATGAACATAGATGCTAAAATCTTCAGCAAAATATTAGAAAATTGGATCAAGCAATATATTAAAATGATCATACTTAATGACCAAGTGGGATTTATTTCAGGGATACAAGGCTGGTACAATATTCACAAATCAATAAATGTGATACATCACATAAACAAATTGAAAGAAAAAAATCACATGATCATATCAATAGACACAGGAAAAGCATTTGACAAAATTCAACACTCATTTTTGATAAAAACTCTCAGCAAAGTGGGAATAGAGGGATCATATCTCAACATAATAAAGGCCATATATAACAAACCTCACACTCAATGGGCAAAAACTAAAACCATTTTCCCTAAGAACAGGAACAAGACAGGGATTTCCACCTTTACTACTCTTACTCAATATAGCATAGGAAGTCCTTGCTACAGTGATCAGACAAGAAGAAAACATAAAAGGCATCCAAGTCAAAAAGGAGGAAGTAAAACTGTCATTATTTGCAAATGACATGATATTGTACATAGAAAATCCTAAAGACTCCACCAAAAAAAACTACTAGATTTAATAAATGAATTTGGCAAGGCAGCAAGATGCACAATTAACACCCAGATATCTATAGCATTTTTATACACCAACAAAACTCTCAGAAAGAGAAACTAAAAGCAATCCCATTTATCATTGCAACAAAATAATTAAGATACTTAGGAATAAACTTAACCAAGGAGGTAAAAGATCTGTACTTGGAAAACTATAGGACGTTGTAAAAAGATATAGAAAAATATATAAACAAGTGAAATAATATACTGTGTTCATAGATTGGAAGAATTAACATCATTAATATGTCCGTACTACCCAAAGCAATCTATAGATTCAATACATTCCTTATTAAAATACCAATGGCATATTTCACATATGTAGAACAAATACTCCAAAAATTTATATGGAACAAAAAAAGATCCTGAATAGCCGCAGCAATCTTGAAAAAGAAGGACAAATTTGGAGGGATCACAATACCAGATATCAAGTTATACTACAAAGCCACTATAATCAAAACAGTCTGGTACTGGCACAAGTACAGACATATAGATCAGTGGAACATAAAAGAGAACCCAGAAATTTACCCAAGCCATTGCGCTCAATTAATATTTGACAAAGGGGGCAAGAACATACAATGGAGTAAAGACAGTCTCTTCAATAAATGGTATTGGAAAAATTGGACAGGTACATGCAAAAAAATGAAACTAGTTACTGTCAGAAGCTGTCTGTGTTTGGCACTCAGCAACCTGTTTGAAGGTTCAAGTGATCCATATTTTTGTGTCTCATAGGGTTTGGCTGCATGTGCGAGGGACCAGGCTGCACTCTAGGGCTGGCCTGTTTTTAGTACTTGGCTGAGGGATGGGTTAGCAAGTGTCCCAAAGCTCCTCAGGCTACACCCTTTGCCTGCTTCTCCCTGGAGCCCAGCTGTCAGTCTTAGTCACTGAAAAGGATGTTTCTGAAATGGCTTTTGACTGAATGGGGTGTATGGGACTTCTGGGTCTCCCATGAAGGGTAGGTGCTTTTCAGATTTCAGGGCAGGTGATGGGTGAGTTCCTCCACTCCAGAGCCAGTTCTCTGAGTATCCCTAGAATATTTTCCTGTCCTCGGCTGGGCAGAGCCCTTTGTATGCAGTCCAGTGGGATCTGCTGGAAGCTGGGAGTTTCTATCAGCTCTTCTGTGAGGAGGAAGCACCAGTCAGTTTCCCAAGACAGTGGGGAGCATGGCTCCACTCCAAAGCCAGTCACTGATACTCAGCTTTTGCTGCTGTCTTGTGTTTACCTTTTTAAAAAATCTAGCTCTTAGTTTCATTGGTTTCTTTCTCTGTTGTCTATTTAGTGACTTTTTCATTTATTTCTGCTCTAATTTTTATTATTTCCTCTATCTATTAACTTTCACCTTCATTTCTTTTTCTTTCCCTAGGTCCTTTAGGTATAAAATTGGATTGAGATTTTTTTTTGTTTTTTTCTGTTAATAGGCCCATATCACTAATTTTTCCTATTAGAACTACTTTTGCTGCATCACATACATTTTACTTGTTGTATTTCCATTTTTCTTTTACTCAATATGTTTTTGGAATTTTTATTGGCAGCATGTTGTTTCATCTCCATGTATTTGTAAATTTTCCACATTTTCCTCTGTAATTGATTTCTAGATTCATAGCATTGTGGTCAGAAAAGATGCTTGATATTATTTCAATTTTTAAAAATTTATTAAGACTTGCCTGTAGCTTAACATATAATCTATTCTGGAGAATGTTCCACGTGCACTTAAGAGAAATGTGTATTTTGTTACTTTTGGATGCAATGTTCTGTATGTACGTAACCCCAATTCTTTAAATGCATCCCTTAAGAATTATGTTTCCTTCAATAAAAAGCTTCTGCAGAGTAAAAGAAACCCTCAACAAAAAGAAATGGGAGCCCACTGTATGGGAGAACATATTTGCCAATGACACATGTGATAAAGGGTTAATATCCAGATTATGTAAGGAACTCATACAACTTAACAAAAGGAAGACAAACAATCCAATTTAAAACTCGGCAAAGGACCTAAATAGACACTTCTCCAAAGAGGACATACAGATGGCCAAGAGACATGAAAAAATGCTCAGTCACTAATCATCAGAGAGATGCAAATTAAAACCACAATGAGGTATCACTTCACACCTGTTAGAGTGGCTGCCATCAACAAATCAATGAATCACAAATGCTGTCAATGGTGTGGAGAAAAGGGAACCCTAGTACACTGCTGGTGGGGATTCAGACTGGTGCAGCCACTATGGAAAGCAGTATGGAGTTTCCTCAAAAAATTAAAAATTGAACTGCCCAGTGATCTCACTTCTAGGAATATATCCTAAGAAACCCAAAACACCAATCAGAAAGAACTTATGCACTTCTATGTTCATAGCAGCACAATTTACAATAGTTAAGATCTGGAAACAGCTCAAGTGCCCATCAGTGAATGAGTGGATAAAAAAGCTGTGGTATATTTACACCATGGAATACTATGCAGCTGTAAAAAAAAAAAGGATCTTTTATCCTTTGGGACAGCATGGAGAGAACTGGAGCACATTATGCTAAGTGAGATAAGCCAGTCAGAGAAAGACAAGTACCACATGATCTCACTCATATGTGGAATGTAATAAACAAAATAAACCAAGGAACAAAATGGATCCAGAGGCATAGAAGCATGAAACAGACTGAGGGATCTCAGAGGGAAGGTGGAGAGGGGGGAGTGGGTGGGGAGAGATTAAGCAAAGAATTTATATGTTTATAAGCATAGCCCATGGACACAGGCATTGGTATGGGGAAGGCCTGGGGTGGGGTGGATTCGAGGTGGAGGGGATCAATGGGGGAAAAAGGGGGACACCTGTAATACTTTCAACAATAAAGATTAAAGAAAAAAACAAATTAAAACATTAATTTGAAAAGATATAAGCACTTCTATGTTCATTGCAACATTATTTGCAGTAGCCAAGATACAGAAATAACCTAAGTTTCTATTGATGAATGAATAAATCAAGAAATGTGATACACACACACAATGGAATATTTTTGAGCCATAAAAAGGAGGAAATCTTGCCATTTTTGACAATATGAGGACATTATGCTAAGTGAAATAAGTCAGACAGAGGCAGACAAATACTGTTTTTTGTTTTTTAAATATATCTTTATTGATTTAAGAGAGAGGAAGGGAGAGGGAGAGAGAGATGGAAACATCAATGATGAGAGAGAGTCATTGATCCGTTGCCTCCTGCACTCCCCCAACTGGGGATGGAGCCCACAACCCCGGCATGTGCCCGGACCGGGAATTGAACCGTGATCTCCTGGATCCTAGGTCGATGCTCAACCTCTGAGCCACACCTGGCGGGCCAGCAAATACTGTTTTATCTCATTTATATGTGGTATCTTTTAAAAACAGTGTTCATAGATACAGAGAATAGATTGGTTGTTGCCAGATGGTGGTGGTATGGGCAAAATGAGTGAAGGGTGTCAAAGGTACAATCTTCCAGTTATAAAATAAATAAGTCCTGGGGATGTATTTAATGTACACCATTGTGACTATAGTTAATAATACTGTATTGCATATTTGAAAGTTGCCAAAAGAGTAAACCTTAAACATTATCCTCACAAGAAAAAATTTTGTAACTATGTATCACGACAGATGTTAACTATACTTATTGGGGTGGTCATTTTGCAATATATAAAAATATCAAATCATTATGTTGTACACCTGAAACTAATATGTTGTATGTCAATTATAATCTCAATTTAAAAAAGAACATTCCAACATCCTCTGGTTCTCTTTTCATTGCTTTTGCATAATCAGACCAGGTTCATGTCCTCTACAAATAGTTTAATCGTTCAGGAAGTGGTGCTTGAATATATCATAAATCTCAGAAGAATGGCCAGTAGTGGAGAAGGCATCAGATTCCCAGCTCTGTCACTTCCCAGCTGTTTGACCTTGAGCAAGATCCTTCACCACAATGAGCTTTGGTATCCTCCTTTCTAAAATGAACTTAATAACGTCTTCCCTACCACACACAGTTGTTGTAAGGATTGAAGTGTAATACCATATTATCAGGTTTAGCACTCTCATGCTGCAAGTAAACTCCCCATTTTGTAGGCCACTAAATTTGTGCCCTAAGACTGGTATCCTCTCAGTGCCCATGATGCCTATCTTCCAAACGCCACCTTTGAAAGAAACTGAGTTCTGAGGCCACACTCAGGGATGGTGCAAGCTCCAGGTGGACAGAGGGTTCCAGGTTTAGTCAGAGGTATGTGTATGACACTAAATCTCAGGAAGGGAGATTTGAAAACTGTATGCTCAAATCTTGGAATTGGAACCCAAGACTGATCAATGCTATCCTTTTCTCTCTCCCCTCCTTTCTTTTTTCTCTTCTCTTGTCGTTTCAGGTGCATGATGACTGTAGAAGGCGGTTTTCCAAGGAATGCTGGTTTGGAAGTCACCACAAATCAGTCATTCCTCCCACGGCCTTAAGCGACCCTAAAGGAGATGGTGAGCAGCTAAACTTTAATCTCAGAAATACAGTGGGGAAAAGGACTGTGATTAAATTATTCTTCTCAACCAGTCAAATATTTCTGGGGAGTAAGAATGGGCATATGTGTAGAGACAGCTCATTTCTCTTTAGACCTTTGGGATGGTGAATGTTGATATTTATGGTGTATATGTATGTGGGCATGTTCTCTGTAGTCTCTGTCTCAATTATTTCTGAACGATCAGAATTTATTTCAGTTTTTTCATGATTTCCATACATTAGATAATCCATGAAATAAGTTAGTTTGCATTCTGGTGGTCAAGGAAGAACTGCATGAAGGCCCAGGTTATGTGCCTGTTAAAATAGAAACTGACACGAAGGTTGTCCCCAAATATGAAATTAACATGACCATTGCTCCAACACACTCCACTGATACTTTGTCAATTCCTGGACACCAGTGATTTATTGAGAACTCTATTCATAAGGTGTTTGAAGGACACAAAAATATCCACGATATGGGCATTGCCAGAGCTTATGGTTATTTTGGACCCATTCTTTTTATGTAGTGTCTCATCTAATGCCCCACAAGTTGGCTTTTAGCTTTTCTTCCTATCATCTGCAGTCTTGATCCAATTGAATTTCACTCTTGAGAGTCCTTCTTTCTATTGTGTATTACTTAGCCTGTCATTTCTTAAGACTATCCTCTAAGACCTCCTTATGTTCTTGACTTTTCCTGGCTTTTTGGCTTAGGCAAACATCCTCTTTAATAGGTTGTCTGTTGGGAATTCCCCACCTCATCTTAGAGATAATAGGCCCTGAAAGATGATCTGGTCCAACTCCTCTGGCCAGGCTAAGGAATTCATTCTCCAGCAGCCAGAGTAGAGGTATCCAGCTGGTGACTTCTTGAAGAAGCACTTGCCATTGTTCAGTAGCACTCATCCATTCACTCAATCATTTATTTAGTCAACAGACTCTAATTTCTGAGAATGCTTTCTAATTACCCCTTTTTCTTATCCAGTCTGTTTGGTAAATCTCATCTTATAGGGTGAGACCAAAATCAAACAGTATCTCCTATTTGAAGGCTCTGAAATTGTCTCTCCCTACTTTCCCAGACAAATTTATTACTTTCTTTGCTGTAAACCCAAAACACACATCTCAAAGCACCTAACACACTATATTATGTGGTTCATCACATGTCTGACTCTCACTCCAGACTATGAACTCTGTATCTCTAGCACTTAACACAGACCCAGGTACATGGTATATGCACACTTAATATTTGTTACATGAATTTATTGGTATATTTATGAAATACTTTCTATATGTAATGCTCAGTGATAAGCAACCTAGAGAATAAGAGATAACTAAGACAGCATCTCTGATTCTTGTGGAGGCAAAATAGTATAGTACAGTGGTTGTCAAACTTAAGACTGCATTAGAATCATCTGGAAGGCAGATTTCTAGGCCTTACCCCCAGAGCTTTAGATTAAGTAGATCTGAGTAGGGCACAAGAAGTTGCATTTCTAACAAGTCCCCAGATGATGCTGATACTACTAGACCTGGGAGCACACTCATTTACTAACTGTGAGCTTGGACAAGCTATCTAACCTCTCTGTGCTTCATCTGTTATTTGGTTTCTGCCAATAGAGAATAATAGTTGTACTCAGGTGTATTATGAGGGTTAAATGAATTAACATTTGTAAAAGATGATTTTAAATTTCAGGAAGGGGAACAGTAAGTCAATCTTATGCTAATTTAACATCCTTCTGTGATATGAACTGAACAAATTTGAGGGGACCATTGTCTCCCTGGTTTGGGGCACTGTGGTTATATTAATTCATCTCAAAGAAGCATGAGCGCTTCTTTTTCCTTTTTGGAACAGCTCTTTAAGGCTGTTGGCTCATCTGGAGCTTAAAGTCAGCTAAATCCCCTAAGCCCTTTTCACACTTGATGCTGCCAAGCCAAGTTCCTATTGTCTTGTTCTACTGCAATTTATGTCCTAAGCCTAAAGGTCAAGCTTAAAATTTATCCCTTTTTTATCATATTGAATTTGACCCATTTGCTGGTCAAGGTCATTTTTCAATCTTCATTCTGTCGTCCAGTAGCTCTCCCTCCAATTTTGGGTACTTCAAAATTGACAAGTTAGCCTTCTATGTTCTCATTGAATTGATTAAAATTACTGAATAATACAAGACACTCCCTTAAAATTAACATCAGTCTATTCAAAAGCAACCTTGTGGACATGATTATTTACCTGGCTATGAATCTGCCTAATATTGTTACATTTTAACTCACAGTGCCACCCAATTTTTGTCACCTTGTTCACAGGATTCCCTGGACAAACTTGGCCTTGCTCAAATTCAGATGTTCTCTGACTCTGGGGGAAATTCCCAAACAGAAAGTGGACTACTCGATGTGCTGATCCTTCTCTTCGGCTCTCAAACTTTTCCTTCCTTAGTTTCTCCTCAGCATTTTATTAATTCTTGGTTGTGGCACCAATTTCTTTATTCCTTATGTTCCAACATACTTTTGTGTATGAGCCTGTCTCCCTAGCTTAAGGGCAGGGGCTATACCCCAGTAATATCTGGCATGATAACTAGAATGTAGTAGTTGCTCAGCAAATGTCAGTTGCCTGGAAACCGCTGGGCAAAGAACAGCTGTGGTGTGTCTTTTGTTTTTGTTTTTTAATAACAGCCTCTTGGGTTTTGTACTGATTTCCCCTCTGTTACTCTATCTCAAGAGTCTAGGGCACAAGGAAACTCTAGGAGATATTAGAAATGTCTATTACCTTGATTATGGTGATAGTATCATGGGTGTTTGCTTATGTCTAAACTCATTAAACTGTACATACTAAATATGTGCAGTTCTTTGTATATCAATTATACTTCAATAATTTTTTTAAAAGGTGTTTGCAAAATTTTATGTTAAGTTATATCTTGTTTCCATCTCAATGGCCCTGTTCTTTTGTTCCTTCTTTTTATTTTTGTTGTGTGCATGTATCAGGCCAATTAGTAGTATCTTCAGACTTCTGGAATCTTGATTGGTCATCAGCCTGTTCATGTCCCCTTCTCATCTTCATCAACTCCAAAAGCGGCGATCATCAAGGGATCGTCTTCCTCCGAAAATTTAAGCAATACCTTAACCCATCTCAAGTGTTTGACCTGTCGAAGGGTGGACCTGAAGCTGGGTAAGCATGGGGTAAGGGATATAGTGGGTATATATAAGGGACTATAAGGGACTTTGCCTTTTATACATTCTAGACTGGGATAGGTTTCCTGGAATTAGTTATAGTACCTGGGAAGGAAAGATCTATTTTCTCAAGTCAGGACACAGATGTAATAACTCCAGAGTATTTTGGGTTAGCTGGTATTTTGGAGGAATTTTAGCCCTCTCCCAGAAATCCTTTCAAACCCATATCCTGCTCTCAGATTTGCTCCACATTTTCTGGTTAGAACAGGTAAAAAAACCTATGTCTCCTTACCTCAGAGGAAGAGGCAAATGGATATTGCTGTCAACCTTCCCTGCCACTC